CGTTTAAATGGAGACAACATAGGCAGGCATTAAGGATAAACAGGAATTCAGAGTGGACACAGCACACACGCACTTGAGACATACGATGAAACCCAACCCTTTCACGCCCCCATTGTCCTCTCATAGTTTACAATCTTATTATCTTTGCCGGCATCTCAGGCCCATACACACGGAGCCGGTCCCAAAAATATACACCACATCTTGCAAGGCAATTAAAAACCTTCCACAGGCGTTGATGTCGTTTTGCCCCTTTTCGGTTATTTGCTGCCATTGCCATTGCCATTGTTATCGCCCTGCTCTTTGGCTGATTATGTGGTGTTTGAGGATCGTTTATTTAACATATTTTGCATAAAATTCACTTTTCGTAAGAAAATTACAAGCTTTGCTACCCGGCAAAATAGTAAATAGGTGGGCTAATAGTTTTACTCTTTCCTCACCTCTGACTAAAATTATGTTTAATCACGTTTTATTTTCCACGCTGTTCGAAACCAAAGTAAAAATAGAGCTTGGTAAATATGTAATTAATAGTTGGAACTAGCTACGAATATTTGCCTCGCTTACAATATTTACATGTTGAATATTCTTAATTTTCATTTCATACCTACAATAAGAATTTAAATACATAGTAAGTCCTTGTTAATTTCTTTAAATATTCAAATTATGTGGAGGAGCGGATTTTCTCAAATGTGTTTTAAATTTGTTGGGAAAAACGTTCCAATGTTCCAAATTTTCTTTTGATTGGAGAGCTTTGACGAGAAATATAAATCCGATCAATCGAAATCGTTTACCTTAACAATCTTAGTCCTCAACTTTTCACCCAACCAGAGATTTTCCTAAAACTGTAAAATGTAAGCTTCCCAGCTCTATCGAATTGGACATACGTTTACAACCAATTGGTCAGTCAATTAAGAGACATAGCTCTATATCTTGACTAGACTTTATATCTATCGCCCTTCCCAAGCAAATTTCATTTATTGTTGTCATATACCCTGAACCTATTGAAAATGGGTAAATAGGGGTATATTTGCTCTCTGTCTAAGTATGTAATTTGTAATTTAAAACGTAGGTCTTCCTAGTGTCAGCTCACTACAAGTTCGATAAAAATCGAAAGCAGAAATATTGGGAGATCTAGAACAATATGATTATCTGGTTCTGCATTTGTCATAAAGCACTATATATTTCAAATTTCAAGTCCTCAGTTTTTATATTTTCCGAGATCGAAACATTCAAGAGTACTAGTTTATGGGATTTATCTATCTGTTAAATACGTTTGCACAATACCATTATACCCTTTTCCCTTGTTAATGGGTTCAGGCTATTAAAATGAGTGCATTCGAATATAATTTGAATATATGGTACTATTCATGGAATATGTTTGTCGTAAACTTGAATCATTGATACTCTCTTATCGAAGTTTGCATATCTTTATAAATATGTATTTTTTATATTTGCACAACCGACTGACTGATGGGAAGTCAACGCCAAATCAACTAAAAAGAATCCACACGCTTTGGCACACAGACAACCCCAAAGAGAGAGATCTCGGTCCAAGTTAATCTAGCCCAACCAGAAGCCAGACCCAGCAAATCCCATAAAAAGCAGCTCAATGATATAGAAAAATAGATAACGCAAAAATTTGCAAAGCATCATGGTAAGAAATCGCAAAAATAAAAGAGGGGAAGGAATAAGAAGCGTGTCAAAAAATCAACTTTAAACTAAGCCGCAAAAACACTCGAACGGAGCGTCGTCAAGTGAATAATGGGCAAATCCGCAAAGTAAATATGACACATCGCAAAATGGCATTTGGTGATAAAATGGAACACGCCTTGCGACAGCATAATGTCACTGACAGTCGCATATCCACATACATACGTATCCAATACAAAGGTGTTTGTTTGACAAGTCTCTGGTCTCCAGTAAGGGGTTACTGTTGGTTATTCAATTTCACCCTCTCAGTCCCCCAACGATGAGTATCAATAAAAAAATTGCTCCGCTGGGCATAAGCATTGGCCAAAGTATGTTGATAATGTAAGTGTGGGGTCCCGTTCGCTCGACTTTCGCCCTTACCTACATATAAACATACAAATTTTTTGGGTTTTTATGCTTAGCAAAATGCAACGCAAATGTACATTACATGTACGCATATACACATATGTATGTATACAAATATGTGTGTGTGTGAGTGTGGCTGGGCGAGCAGCCAAAGAGCTTAGGACCGCTCTCTTTGTTTTGCAATTTATGACTTTTTGACATTAAATCTTTGTTTGAGTACAGTGTGCCATTCGATATGCATTAAGGTTCAATAATCATAAAAAACAAAAAAATAACCGACGTCAATTAACCCTTCACAGGAAAAAATCAAAACACAGCAGAGTTGACAGATGCTTGCAAAGAAATCACAGTCGCCGCCAATAACCATGGAGCTGTCCGCCAGTTCTATGCACGCAATATTAACGTCACATAAATCTTGGCAACACTACTACTAAGTCGCTATTAAGTGAAATTGACCACATATTTTATCTCATACGCACACGCAGACCGACACCAGACAATTCTGTGCGGGCAAGTTGGGGGTTGGCACGTAATTGGTGCGACAGGCGCATAAAGCAATCTGCGACTAAAATATATGAGACCTCTAACTGGACACATGAAATTAACTAACTGAAATGCCGCAAAAAGAACTTGGCTTGTATAAGTGTGCATGCTTTAACCTAAGTCAACTAAACGCGCTGAGTTCTATACCAGCCAGTTAAATGTCAGCCAACAAAACTAAGCGCTGCCAGATCAGGTAAAAAACATGCTATTTTCTCCTTCGTTTGCAGCGTTTGTGTATTTATTCAATTTATTACGTTAAATATTGGAATATTTATTCCGATTTTCAAGATATATAAATTGTATTTAAGTATGTTGATTTATTGACGGTGTCCAAGGGAATATCTCCCAGCGAACTGTGATTCCTTGTCAATATTGATGAAATTCAAAATGCTGACAAAAAATTCTTTGAAAACAAAAGTCAAACAGAAATCTTATTTGTAACGAAAAATATCTAATATTATAGTACAAAAATACTGCCTTGCGTATCGATCATTAAAATCGGTTTGCTGTTTAACCCAAATACCAAAAAATTAAGTAATGTTGCAGATTTAACACGTTTTAGCTGTTGCATTGAACAAGACAAAGAACCACATCATTTACTCAAGTGGTACTGTTAACACGTCAGTTCTTTTGGCAACGTACTCTCCATTAATATCGTTAACAAATGTAAAAGTTTTTGGGTGCCCACAGCTGTATATAACTGTAAGTGTTGGGTAAATCTCACATAATACACCCGCAAGCGAGTGACGTGTAAGTCGGCGATTGCACTTTACGTTTCTGCACACAATTTAAAGGAGCTAAGAAGTATAAAAAAATAAAGCAACTCATCAAATACAACAATGATTCAATTGTTATATGCTTGTAAGTAACCATCCCAATCGAAATAAATGTATTTGTAATCTTAACTTGAACTTACCCAAATTAATATCTTATACGCCCACATACGTAGCTGTTAGCATATTGTTGCTCGTTTCCGGCAGCGCCAACGCATTTTATTCACCTTCCGATAACGTTGTGGAGCTAACGCCATCGAACTTCAATCGCGAGGTTGTCCAAGACAACGCTATATGGGTTGTGGAATTCTATGCGCCTTGGTGCGGACACTGCCAGAGCCTGGTGCCTGAATACAAGAAACTGGCCGAAGCGCTCAAAGGTGTAATTAAGGTGGGTTCGGTCAATGCCGATCAGCATTCCGAACTTGGTGGAAAATATAATGTACGTGGCTTTCCCACAATCAAAATATTCGGCGCCAATAAACAATCGCCTAGTGATTACAATGGGCAACGCACAGCTAAAGCGATTGCAGATGCCGCTCTGGCTGAGGCCAAGAAGAAGGTTCAAGCCGCATTCGGAGGCGGGGACAGCAGTAGTAAGAGCCGCTCCTCAAGCTCCGATGGTGATGTCATCGAACTAACAGAAGATAACTTCGACAAACTTGTCCTGAACTCTGAAGACATTTGGCTAGTGGAGTTCTTTGCGCCCTGGTGCGGTCACTGTAAGAATCTAGAGCCTGAGTGGGCCAAGGCCGCCAAGGAGTTAAAGGGCAAAGTCAAGCTGGGCGCTCTTGACGCGACGGCACACCAAAGCAAGGCGGCCGAGTACAATGTACGTGGCTATCCGACTATCAAGTTCTTCCCAGCCGGCTCAAAAAGCTCCAGCGATGCTGAGGAATACAATGGTGGTAGAACTGCCTCTGACATAATAAGCTGGGCTAGCGATAAGCACTCGGAAAATGTGCCAGCGCCGGAGCTTGTGGAGATTACTGATGAATCTACTTTCGACAGTGCTTGCGAGGGCAAGCCCTTGTGCGTGGTCTCTGTCCTGCCCCATATTCTCGATTGCGACGCCAAGTGTCGGAACAAGTTCCTGGACACTTTGCGCGTATTGAGCGAGAAGTTTAAACAAAAGCTTTGGGGTTGGGTCTGGGCCGAGGGCGGTCAACAGCCAGCTCTGGAGGAGTCTTTGGAAGTTGGTGGATTTGGGTATCCGGCCATGGCCGTTGTAAACTTTAAAAAAATGAAATTTTCCGTGCTGAAAGGCTCCTTCTCCAAGGATGGCATAAATGAGTTCCTGCGTGACATATCCTACGGCCGTGGCCATACGGCACCCGTACGTGGAGCCAAGAAACCAGCTATTATAAGCGTCGAGGCTTGGGACGGCAAGGACGGACAGCTGCCCACCGAGGAAGACATCGACCTGAGCGATATTGATCTGGACGATGACGTCAAGGACGAACTGTAATCCGGCTTCTTAAAGCGAAGTAACTTTTCACCAAGACTGCAGTCCATGCTCAATTTTCCACTTAGCCAACCGATTAACTTAATCTTCTCTAATACTAAGTCAGACAGCGTAACTAAATAAATAAAAATTAACCTTTAATAAACAATACAACTGTGGTTTGGAAATTGAGGGTGGCGTTGGTAGAAATATTTATTTGTCTAAAATGTAAAGTAAAATACAAGCTGGAATATATGGCTTAATATTGGCCAAGATTAAATGAAACATTTATCTTAAATGCAAGTATCAGTAAATTAGGTACTAAATGCATCAAATCTTTAAAAATTGCCGCTATGCTAAATGTATATATTTAAATCTAAGGGTATATAAGAATAAAATCAGTATATTGTGTTTTAAGTACAACCAGTGAGCAATTGTTTTTCTAGGCTAATTGTAGGGGATCTCTCAAAAGAGAGTTCTCCATAATCGTATTTTAATTTCGAGTTAGAGCATCAAAAGATACGTCGAATTTGAAGTAAGAAGCGCGACTTGGATTGTTTTTGTTTTTGGGCCGCAACCTGATGATGTAAAATACCTGTATAAAATCGTGTCTGCTGTCCTCAGCGTATAAGCATGATTATATGCTTACGTTACGTACTTTAAAAGATATGTCAATTATTTAGGCAAGTTGATGATTATGCTTTTGGTCCACCGGGTAGTTTTCTATTGATTGTATCGAACGTGATGTGGCTGCCGTGATTGTGGATACGTCCATGAAGCGGTATTTCTTATCGTCGCGGCACAACAGAGGATAGCACATGATGCCATAGTAAAACACTAGAGAGATCACAATGATCGTAAATATTATGGCGATAATACCGAATGTCGAGAAACTCGACTTGCTGTCCAAATATTCCTTGGGAGTTTGAGGAGGCGGCGTTGTCGTCGCTGGCGTCGATGTTGACGCACGCTGATATCCACGACGGTAGCCGTCCACGTTGGAAATTAGAAAACCGGAGGCTGTATATGTGACAAAGAAATAAAAATGGTGAACGTGTTCATTTGGATAAACACACAAATATTAAAATGCTTTTTATTAAAAGCGGCACTCACCTACAACAAGCAAGCCCAGCATAAACAAATTACAGTGGCGGAACATGTTCAATGCAGTAAGTACTAGTAGTAAATTAAGTACGGACGCAGGCGCAGATATACACAAAAGCGATACAACAGCCGTAAACAATGAAAATGATTATCTTTTACCACGCATTACTATCGATACTCAAAAAATGAGCTCTTCGATACTATGTGCCATCTCTAGCGATACCATTTGTTATCGACAGTATCATTGAACTAAGAGTTATTGTGCTAGTTGAGTTTGCGTGTGCACTTAATTTGTGGAAGTTGTTATAAAATCATTGAACAAATTTATACAAATAACAAAAATTAAAACTTTTTTATCATATAAAACCACGCCGTACACTGTATGACAAGAATGTACGGCCTTACAGTTATCTAAAAAATTCTAAAGCAAAAATTGACGCGACGGCGACGCTAATTTTTAGCTGTATTGTCGTGAGCATAGCAGAGGCAGACAACAGCAAGTTTTTAAATTTGCCATAAATAAAACGATTTCAGCATTTAAACGTAATCTGAGAAATAAATTCAACGCAAAGTATGCGACAAAAAAAGGTACAGTGAACATTTTTTTTGCTTGTCAATTCGATTGTCGGCAGCAAACGGCAGCACAAAACGGGCTCAAAAAGAAGCACAAACACAAAGTGAACAGGAAAGAAACGAAGCAACACAAGAGAAAGAAAGAGAAACGCTAGTTGGCATAGTGGTGGTCGCTTATGCTTGTGAGTACACGTTTGTGTGTGTGTGTGTGTGTGTGTTTGTGCATGTGTAGTTTATGAACATAAACATTAACATATTTACATATTTAGATCAGTAAATGCTGGAAAAATGTCACATTTGCCATTGGATGCGCGGGCTATACTTCAGCACCTAAATGAATTGGGCTATAGAAATATATCTGCCGAACAACTACGTGAATTTTTAAAAGGTAAGACCATTCACTGAAACAAACTGAAAGCAGCAGTTCCCGCCATAGCATGTTGTCTTTATGTGTGTGTAAATGCAACGAACGTTTCAGTGTTATTTAAGTTGGAGTAAGTTTTTTCTGTTTTCGTTAATTTTTATGAACGATTCGTCACCATTTGTTCGTATTTTCTCGTTCAGTAGAAGAGAAACAAGCGACGGCGACGAAAGTTCGTAGCTGTATATAATGAAAATTGAACGAGTATTACTCGTAATTTGTAAATAACAGCACAAATAACGAAAAAAAATTTTTGTTTAGACCTCTTGTGTACTTGAAGCGTATACGTATACATCCAGATGCATACACTCATGCATGTATTTGTGTACATACATATTTACATTCTATTGCAAGCGTTTTTGAGCAAGACATTTTGTGGTGGCTACGGCTACGTCTTGCTCTGCCGCTGCATGTGTGTACGTATTTGAATGAGTGTGAATATGTTTCGGTCTCCATGGCATACGAAATATGTAAAACATTCACACTGCTACGTGTGTATATGTATGTACATATGTATTTTATTTTTTTTTTAGTAGTTATTTTCTGTGGTTTAGCAGCTTCATCCACAACTTCATGCGTCTGACCGCATATTGCAACTGTGCATACATGTGCACGTTTCGTTGTCTGTTTTGTACTTCGTTTATGTTTTATTTACTTATTTGTATTTGTTTTTATCTGTTTTTCTATTTCTGTGTTCCTATTGCTCTGCGATTTTGTCTTCTCTGCTTTGCTCATCATGCACAAAATTTCCACTTTTTGCTTCTAAAATTCAGCAACAGAGCCTAGCAATCGATTTGTAGCAATATTTTTGTATGTCTTAATAGAAACCTATGAACGTCTCTAGTACTGTTAAAATGTGTTAAACCTTCAAGTTGTGAATCAGCTACTGAAATAAAACAAGATGCCAACGTGTTCTCTTTATTCTGTTAGCAAAACGATCGACGACTTGCGGCTCTGAAATGGTTGGCAGTCAACCCTGCTCACAAATACCTTTAAAAATTTGTGTGGTGTATGCAATATATATATGCTTGTGTTTGTATGAACATATGCAGACGACCGGTGCGAATTGGGGAATATAAATAAATACAAAAAGACAAGCTAAGCTCGACATTTGCTAATAATGACTGCGAAGCAACAAAAAGCGAAAAAAGAGTTTTTAACCGCCTGTGTGAATTGAGTTGTAACGAAACTTATACGTTTTTGAACCATTCACTTCAATTATTCAGTAATTTTTGGATTTATATAGTAGGCATTATGCTTAGTTTACTTATTTGTCTTTGAAAATTTACTGCAGTTTCTCGTAAAAATGTTCAAAACTACTGAAACATTTATTTTTAAAACCGATCAAATCAAACCGATTAAAATTTCCCAAAATAACAATTTCCTGGCCCACTTCCCTTTAGCGGTATAAATTTCCCTAAAGATCTTAAGGGTTCCCTGAATCGCTGAAACTTATTTACGACTTTGAAAATAAGTTTGAGGCAGCTTAGACAAAACTCGAAACTTCATAACCAAAAAATATTTGATCCGCATTTTCCACCTAAGCCGCTTGGATTCTACGAAAAGTGTGAAACACATCTCAAATGAATTTTAAGAAAGAAAGTTGTATACAACCTATTTTTCCACACTTGCCAATAAGGTAACTGTGTTCCCAAAACAATTTTGAAATTTGAGTTGATTTTAGTTTTGTGTTCGGCTGTCCTTTTACCAACTATCAAATTGGTTCCTGCGCGTAGTAAAAAAGATTTCCGAACCTTCTATATTCACGTTTTCTCGCAATTTATTTTATTTTAAGAAATCAGTAGCTGTAGACTTGCAATTTTTAACGTAGGTCCACCGAATGCCGAGCTACAAATCATTTGAAATATCTCTGCTTCTACGAAGTGCAAGTTATTATCATAGATAAACAACTCTTAGAGTTCATACGCGGCTATATCATACAGTATTCACATCAAAGATATTAAAATTTTTTGTTCGTACCCCGACCTACCGCAAAATTAAATGAGTAAGGAAATCCAGCAGTTGCAATTATATAGACTGAGAGCCTTACGCCCCTCTGCATTGTTAAGCTCTATTGACCTGGCGGCCGGCTCTCGCTGAAGCACATCTTAAAAAAATATTTAAAAATTAGTAATTAATTTTATTATTTTTGCTGAAATTATTAAGTTTATTATTTACAAAAATTAAGTGATGATTTATATACGAAGTAAACAATGTAATTAATTTAAACAACGCTTTAAAGTTACTCCATGAAATGTATCTTTATCGACAACTGAACTACTAAAAGAATGACCGGCTGAGCATTATATACTATTGAAAGATTAACACTATTTGCATCGCCCTTGAGCTAATAATTTAGTCTGCGCACCCCTTAAGCTAACACCCAGGCTTTAACCTAGAGTCAAAACATTTGAAGGTAGACTGTATGACTCTTTTCGACTGAATAATCGCCGATAACACTGTGAACGGAAAATTGCACAGTCGTTAACCCGACTGCACGCTCTTCATTGTTTGTTTTCATTTATGTTTGTTTGCATTAACAACTATTATTTTTGTTTTGACAAAATATTCTTCAGACATGACTCGCATATTTATTTTGAATATATTTTGTCTTTAAGATATAATTGCTAAGAAACTTCACCAGAAAAGCATGTTCGGGTTGCTTATTGGCAATTGCATTCATTAAACGCAGTCGATAAGGCACGAAAAAGATTTAATTTAGCACCATTTTTTAAAATGATGAATCGGTGAAATCTAAAATATTATAAAGAAATCGACGTTGACATTGTTAAAAAATATATTTTATTTTCGTTTAACAATTATGTGAAATGCCTTCGATTGCGAGATAGTTATTGACAGCTGCCCGGCTCCTGTTTTTTTAATTATATGGCTAGAAAAAAAAAAACCCACGAATCATACAAAATTGCACTCATACACGAAACAAATCGAAAAAAAAACCTTTTGAACAAGAATCGTTATATACAGACAAATTACATAATGACGAAAAGGTAAAATATATTTTTTTAGGAAAATGATGAGTGGAGCTGTGTCTGACATAAAGTTTTTAGTTGGTTGGTGGCTGCTGCTATATGTAGGCTTAAAGCGTTTCAAATTAATTAATACTTTTTCAATTTATTTATATCTAATTCTTGGTCCATCAAATTCACATCACAACAACAAATGCAGCTTTTTTGCGCCTAAAGGTATGCAACCACAGTCGGATAAGCAAAGTGCTAGCAAAAGCAATCTCGCAACAGCAAGAGCAAATACTCAGCAGCAGCCCCAGCCAGAGCTTCAGCAACATCCTCATCAGCGCTCCAAAGTAAAGGTCATCAAGAGCAAGCGTCCACTCTGTCACTTTAAGTTTTATTTGGATATTTGCGATCATCAGCTAGCCAAGCGCATTGAGGCGGATATCAAGGCGCTTGGGGGCACACTTGAATTCTTTCTCAACGACAGTATTACACATTTCATTACCGACAAGGAAAAAGGCTCGTCGCTTGGAATTACTGATGCTCGTAAGAACACCCGTAATCAGCTGGGAGCCACTTTAGCACAACCCACACTTATATCACCGCAAACGCCCATTACAACTGCCCATGATAATGGCATTGGCCTACAGCGCAGGACTCGGCAAACTCGCGCCGATGCTATTCTGAGTCGTGTGCTCCCCCATAGTCAGCAGCAACAGATCCAGCAAACTTATCGCAGCAATACACCAAGTAGCAGCAGGCTTTCACTTGCAACGTACACCATCTGGCAGACAGAGTACGCCTTACGCTTCTTTCAGCGTATACAGACCGAGCTACGTCAGTATTTGAAAGCATCTGGCACATTAGGTGGAACACAGACAGGTGGATCAGCTAATATTCACCTAAAGGGTCATTTTATCAAGATCGAGTCGATCAAGCGAAATCACCGACCATACTATCACCTACTTAAACAGCCCGAGGAGTGGCCTAAAATTGATTTGAGCAGCGAAGACAGTGCCTTTCGTTTACAGACCAAGGCTTATGTTCAAAGTATGACACGTAAGTCTCCAGGCTCACGGACTTCGCAACGTCAACAGGATAAAGATCAGCATCACCCACAGGCGGTGCCTTTGCAACACGCTGTCGTTCAGGCGCTCAAAAAGCCATCAGTTTCCGTGCATACGCCAGACAGTCCCAGATCACATTGTAGAGAGTTAAAGGAATCCAGCGACAAGCAGTGC